CTGTTCACTCTGTTCCTGAGGGCTGCGTGGCCCTACATGGCATGTGGTGTCCTCTTCCCCCCGGGCTGTGAGTGTATGTGACTAATCAATCCTGTCAATCTCATCCGCCCAGAGTCAGGTGTCAAGTGTTTGGCCATCTCAGAACCCTAGGGCAGGAATTCCCCTTTCTTCTCAAGTCTGCATAGGAGCCATTTACAATGACAACAGAAAAACAAGTATGCAATAGGAATTTCCTGAGCAAACTGGGACATGTGATCAACCTAATCAGACCATTTGTCCTCGAGAATTTATATTGGTAAATAGAAGAGGGAGGAGTTAAAGGAGAATAAGTTTCCAGTCTGTGGCACCATACAGAAAAGATTTATTTATTTAGAATATAACTACTATAATTACATTTTCACCTGACTGTTTTATTCATAGATTTATTCATCTATTTATTATCTCTACTCCCTAAAAATATTTATTATGTATCATATATTACTTTGCTAGAAACTGAAAATGCAGAGATTAACACATAGTTCTTGCCCTTGAAGACTTTTCAACTAAAAAAAAAAAATTCTTGCTATCGGAATCTGGAATCCTAAGTACATTTTCAAATAACACATTTTATTCAGATGGTTAGGGATTAAGAATCCAATAGAAATCTATGCAAACCATGTTAATTTTACATTTCCTAGTAGCCACATTAAAAAAGGGAAAATAAACAGAAGAAATTAATTTTAACAATGCATGTTATGTAATGCAATGTATCTAGAATATTATAATTTGAATATTTAATCAATATAAAGGTTATTAATAAGATATTTTATATCCTATAATTCATACTAAAACTTCAAAGTCAAATACACATTTTACATTTACAGTACATCTCAATTTGAGTGCTTAGTTTTTATTCAAAGTATCTAATCTGCATTTCGAATCTCTGAAATCATAGTTGTAAAATAGATTTCCATACCCAACACATTCCAAGCTTAGAAGTAACAATATTTTTACCTGTTTTTCTAATAGTTTTGATATTCCTAATTCCTGCAGGACATCTGGCCCTGTCCAAAACATCCACAGAGACATTTGGTCCATGACAAAAGGTCCTTGAAGTTTGATTATTGATATTTGGTCCTGTATCAAAATGACTACAGAGACACGTGGACCATGCTGACCCACCTACTTCACCCCTTGTGCCATTGCCTGCCAGGCAACCAAATCAAGAAGAGTTATTATAGGTAATACAGCCTCAACACAATTACTAGACCAATAAAACATGATAACATTTTTTATGTATGAGTTCTCTAAAGCAAAAATAGAAATAATGTTAAATGTCTTTGAACCCAGGGACATTTTTTCTTTTCTTTTTTTCTTTTTTTATTGATTTTAGAGAGAGAGGAAAGGAGAGGGAGAAAGAGAGAGAAACATCAATGAGAGAGAACATCGATGGGCCACCTCCTGCATGCTCCCCATTGGGGATTGGGCCCACAACCTGGGCACGTGCCCTGACCGGAAATTGAACCAGCCCCCTCTTAGTGCGTGGGTTGACAGTCAACTAGTGAGCCACACTGGCCAGGCAAAACCCTGGAACATTTTCTAAGCATGGATGTTTTGGACAGGACCAAATACCTTCAAATGAGCCTAATAGTTGTAATAGTTTTTGTAATACTGAACTGAGTAAAAAAAAATAATAACTTTTATTTAATATAGTTCTTCACATTGATAAAACTGGTTTGTCTCCCAGCTGGTGTGGCTCAGTGGTTGAGCCTTGACCCCTGCACCAAGAGGTCACCAGTTCAATTCCTAGTCGGGGCACATGCCCAGGTTGTGGGCCCGGTCCCTGATAAGGGGCATGCAGGAGGCGGCCAATCAATATTCTCTCTCATTGATGTTTCTGTTTCTCTTATCCTCTCTCTCTAAAAATTAATAAAGGCAAAAAAATTTTTAAAAATGCTTTGTCTTTTTTAGAATTCATTTTACTAAAAGTATCAGTTTCAAAACAAATCTGTCCAAGTAGGTTAAATAATTCTTGTGTCAACTCAGTATTATTAACATTGAATTCAAGAGAATTGCATAAACTGAAAAGCAACTCTAAATTTATCAATATTGATATCAATATTATTTTCTTCAAATGTTTTTTGTGTTGTTTGCAAATTTACATAACACTATTAATTACAATCGAAAATATGTTGCTTTCATGTTAGAAAAATGTGTAATGTAATTATTACTGATTTGTATAATGGAAAGTTTTAATTTCAACTGAAATTTCATCCTTGTCAAGCAAAGTCACCAATAAGCTTTTCTTTTCCTTTTGGTTTTCAAAATGATCTCATTCACAGGCAGTGTGTACTGGTAATGGAAAAAATGTAAATCACATTCTCATTTTGTCTATGATTACTGAACATTTGACAAACATTCCTTTTAAGAAAATTCTGAATTGGAGTAACAATACAGTACATTTTCATAAAACCATTCCATGGCCAAACCAACAGCATTAGTGACAACACAAAATCACTATATCCATTGTCTTATTTCTTTAACATTTTTTATATAGGGACAATTCTAACAACTCTATCCATGACCCTTTTTATAGAATCTGCTTCAGGAAACTAGAAACAATTTTTTTACAAACATTTTCTATTTGTATCATACAGTTGAACAAAACAGTAGGAAAAATATCAATCTTTTACTTTGAAATATGATTTGATTTTTTTTTTACCTAACACAGATAGCTAAAGTATTGTCTGCCATGATACAAACAACTTTTCTGGTGAAAGTTAAAATTTTTCTTTGACAGTTATATGAGATTTTAAAATACCTAGTGACCGGGGCCCGAGGCTAAAGTGACTAGATCCCATTCTTATGTAGGCCTCTTGGCTAAGGCGACTAAATAACTTCACTTTTATCATCAATGAACCTTCCTCTATATTTTTTCAATAACAGGTTAATTACCCCTAGAAGTAAAGGAATTTTGCCTAAGATTATAGTTGCCCCAGGTGTTGGGAGGCATCTGCAGTTTCCAAGTACGGGTAATTTCAGGCATTTGCAGGTACTCCTGAGCCAGGTGAATAATGCTAATTTTGACTTCTGTAATTGCTGTCACACCCACTATTGCACTGGTCCTCTGAGTGGGGGTGCAAAAGGAGGATGGGGATTCTGTCTTTAAAATCAGACGAGCAAGAAGAATTGGGGCTGCTGATCTGAAGGGAAACCATGCCCCCCATAGCCTGCTGGTGAGAAAAAAGCACTCCTTTCCAATTTGGCTGTGCGTCTCTGGTTATCTCTCTGACACATTATAACACTGTTATGGAAAAGAGTCAGACAGAACACCGGAGGAAGCAAAGAGGTTCCTTTCCTTTATTCACGCATGCGGACCCAGAGGAGGCAGTCTTCAAATTCTGGGCCCCCAGTGCAGGGCACGCCTAGCTTTATAGCGGGCTGGGCGGACATTCTTTAGATGCAAGGGCAGTAAGCAGCTTACAGAAGCAGGAAGCAAAAAGGTCTGGTTATCTCTAGGAGGCAAAGGGGTCTAGTTATCTACTGGGAAGCAAAAGGGTCTGGTTATCTCCTGGGTAGTTACTTTTTCTAAAATGGCAGTTTACTTCTTCTATTATTCCTCCCTTTTGATGCTATTAGCTGCTATTGCTGCCTATTGCATCATGATACAGATCTTTATAATCTCAGTCTTCAACTTTTTAGGAGTTGATATCTGTACTAATACAGGTGGAGGGCCAATATTTTGGCTGTGGCCTGCTTGGTTACAGTGGACTCTAAAGTTTGGACTATGGTCCATATTATGCATGGTCTGAGGCTTACTCCTAGGAGAATGATGGCTATCGGTCTAATTAGTGGAAGTAGCCACTGGAGCCAGCCCTGTGAGTCTATTCCCCAATTCCAATTTTCTAATTCTTTGGTTCTGCGTTTTATGTTTTCTCTGAGTTCTTTGACCTTTTGTGCTATGATTCCAGTCTGGTTTACAAAGTAGCAGCATTCTTCCCCTAAGAACATGCAAGTTCCTCCTTTTTCTGCTATTAGCAAGTCTAGAGCTCGATGGTTCTGTAAGGTTCCTTCTGCTAGGCAATTAATCTGTTGTTGGATGGTGGTCAAAGAGTCTGCTACTCTAGTCATGTCTGCATTAAGTTGGGCAGGCAATTTATAGTAGGTAGAGGCAAAGAACCCTAGGTCCCCTGCTCCTGTCCCTATCCCAGCTGCAAGGCCAATTCCTGCTGCAACTGCTATGCTACCCCTCCTTTTGGTTCGAGTAGGTCCCTTTCGGCTCAGTCGGAGTAGGTGTAGGTTCGATATTTCCTGCGGGGTTTGGATGCTAAGGCTAAGGGTAAGGAAGACCTCTAGACATCTCCCGGTCCAGTTGGCAGGGAGGCACCTATAGGCCTCCCATCCACACAGGAGGAATAATCCTGGCTCAGTACAGAAACTGCTGTTATTGGGGACACTGACATACTGGTACAAAGCTCTGAGTTAAGAGACCCTACTGGGTTTCCTTCTGGGGAGACCTTCTCTGGCTCTAGACAGGTTAAATTTGATCCTCTAGTATCTAGGAATGCAATGGTTGTTATGGGCCTTTGGGCTAGGGTCTGACTGGGACCAGGAGGAGCCCCAGTATGACTCCAGGTATGTGGAACAAGTATTTCTAGGAGTCCTTCCTCCTGCAATGGTAGGCAAACCCAACATTCCCGAGTGGAGTTGCTAATATTCTGGTATGCTGAGTACAGGGTTTGTACTTGTTCCTGAACCTGTACTATGGGGCTGATTTTCTGTAGTGCCTCCCGGAAAGTAGTAAGGTTGGCACCCTTATATATTATCTCTTCCTCCTATTTCCTCAGCCATCCAGCTATTTCTCTAACGGCTTCTTTCTGGACCATCTCAAATTGTTCCTGGGTTAAATCACTTAATCAGCAGTAGGTACTCCAACAAACCTATCTACCCGGGGGCCCATATGCCTGACACTTCTGACTCTGGTATCCAATGGTCCCTCCCAATTTTTCCATCATGTATAATTTATTGTCCCAACACATGTGAGGGGCCCAGCTTGGTCGCTACCTGGGAGATAGCATTGTAGGCATTCTGCGGGCATAGCAGTGGCCCAAGATATGTTCCCCTGAGAGCCAGTCACTCACAGGTGTTCCATTCTGTTGGGGCTACAGTCATCAGTCCAATTCCTAAGATTATAGCAAAACTTCCCACTGCAGTCAGGTACCATCCTGGGCAATTGTCCATTCCTCTGAGCCTCCGTCAATGCCTGGTTTCCTTTTAAGCTTCAGGGTCGGCAACAGTGGCGGCTGGTCATCTGGGTCCCCGTCCATCCTCCTGGAATTTGCTGGGTCCATTGCCCTCTTGGCTCGGCTGTGATGGATCCAGATGGTGATTCCTGCAACCTTAAGTGTGGTAGCGGTTGTTAGTATGACAAGGTTTGGCCCGGTCCATGTGGGTTGGAAGGGTTCTTTTTTCCAGTCTTTAATCCATACATAGTCCCCTGGTTTATGTGAGTGGGCTGACCCCCCTGGTGGTAAGGGTCCTTGGCCTAATCTGGCCTGATGTATCTGGCTAAGTGCTTCCCCTAGCTTCTGGAGGTACTTAGTCTGCTCTGCTTCCCCTATAACCCGAAGCTCTCCTCTAGGTAGGGGTAGTATGGCTGGCGGCCTCCCATAAACTAACTCAAATGGTGTACACCCTGTGGCATTAGGGGCATTTCATACCCTGAATAATGCTAAGGGTAACAGGTCTGGCCAGGGTAGGTTGGTCTCCTGATGGAACTTAGCAAGGATTTCTTTTAAAGTCTGGTTCATGTGCTCTACCTTTCCTGAGCTCTGAGGGCAATAGGCAGTGTGTAGCTTCCAAGTCATTTTTAATTGTGTTGCTAGTTCCTAGAGCACTTTTGCAACAAACTCTGGCCCATTGTCACTGCCAGTGGTCATAGGCAAACCAAAGTGGGGGGTCATTACCCTGAGGAGGGTCTTGACTACCTCTCTGCTTTTTTCTGTCCTGGGAGAATGCTTCTACCCATCCAGAGAAAGTACAGACTAATACGAGTAAGTATCTATTTCCCAGTTTGGCCTGATCTCAGTAAAATCAATCTGGCCTTGGCCAGTTTGGCTCAGCGGTTGGAGCATTGGCCTGCGGTCCAGAGAGACCTGGGTTTGGTTTCCGCTGGGGGCGCGTACCTCGGTTGTGGTTTGTCCCCAGCCCTGGTTGGTCGTGCGGGTGGCAGCCACTCGATGTGTCCCTTTCATGTTGATGTTTCTCTCTCTCTCTCTTCCTCTCTCTCCCTCCCACTCTACCAGAAGAGAGAATGGAGGAATGTCCTCGGGTGAAGATTAAAAAAAAAAAAATCAATCTGTAGGTCTTCAAAAGGCTGTTGCCCCCTGTGTTGTATTCCGGGAAGCTTTTACAGGTGACCTGCTGCATTGTTCCTGGCACAGGCCAGGCATTGAGCTGCTGCTGCTGCACGTAGTCCAGACATGCTAGGGAAGTAGTACTACCTCCAGAATGAGGCCTCTAGAGATGTGTTCCCGAGGTGTGTGAGGGCATGGCACTGCCTGACGAGATTGCCGGCCTGGCCTTGGGGTATGTAGAGCCATTCGTCCAGCAGTTTCCATATGCCGGTGGGCGTTCGGAGGCAGTGTTCTTGTATGGCTCATTTCTGTTCCTCTGGGGTGTAGTCTGGCTGATTGAGGTTCAGGTCTAACACGGTACCTTCTATGGCTGGGGTATTTGTCAGGGCCTCCCTTTCTGTAGCTGCTGCCTGATCTGCCCTTCTGTTCCCTTGGGCTACTTCTGTCTCTTCCTCTGGTGGCCCCTGCAACACGTTACTGTCTCTTCCTCCCCGAGGGGCCCAGACTGCTTCTAGCAGTCGAAGTATTTCTGCCTTGTTTTTAATTTCCTTCCCCTCGCTGTTAAGAGTCTTCTCTCTCGGTAGATTGCCCCATGGATATGTATGGTGGCGAAGGCATACTGAGAGTCTGTGTAAATATTGACCCTTTTACCTTCTGCTATTTCGAGCGCCCTTATTAATGCCCAGAGTTCTGTCCTTTGGGCGGACCAGCCGGCCAGCAGGTGCTTTGCTTCAATTATTTTCTCATTGTCCACGACAGCGTACCCGCCATTCGCTTCCCCAGTCATGTAACTGCTCCCATCGGTGTAGAGCACTAAGTCTGGCTTGTCCAGAGGCTGGTCCCACAGGTCTGGCCGGCTGGCAGGCACCTCTTCGGTTGTCTCGGGGCAGTGGTGGTCTGGTTCTCCCAGCTCAGCAGGGAGGGACACAGCCGGGTTTATTAGCAGGACAGTGCTGACTTTCACTCAGGGATTCTCATGGAGAAGTCCCTGGTACTGTGTCAGTCTCGGGTTGGAGAGCCGTTTGTGTCCCTGTCCAGCCAGAAGGCTGGACACTGCGTGGGGAACAAATATGTTGATCTCTTGCCCCAGTGTTAGTTTGTCTGCCTCCTGTAAGAGAGTGACAGCTGCAGCTGTGGCCCTCAGGCAGGGCGGCCAGCCTGCTGCTACATCGTCCAGTTGCTGAGACAGGTATGCAACTGGCCTTTGCCTTGGCCCCATTGGCTGTGTAAGGACCCCCAATGCCATTTTCTCCTCTTCGTGCGTGTAGAGGTAGAATGGCCAACTGGGGTCTGGCAGCCCTAGGGCTGGCATGCATCCAAGATGATCTTTTATGGCCTGGAAAGCTTTCTCCTGTTCAGCTTCCCAAAAGAGGGGTGCTGTGTCTGGGCCTTCCAGCACTTGGTAAAGTGGTTTGGCTAATGCCACATACCCCGGTATTCAGATTCAGCAGGACCCGGCAAACCCCACTAGGAACTCTCGAAGTTCCCTCCGGGTGGCTGGGGTTGGTAGGGCCATTATGACCTGCTTCCTTTCCTGGCCCAGGACCCGTTTCCCTTGGGAAATGAGAAGTCCCAGATATCTTACCTGGGCCTGGCATGTCTGTGCTTTCTTCCATGAGGCCCGGTACCTGACTTTGTTAGCAGTTCAGGGAGCTGGCAGGTACCTTCCCAGCACTGGTCCAATGTGGGGGCGGCTAGTAGGAGATCATCCACATACTGTAGCAGCACTAGGTTTGTTTCTGTATCAGTAAACAGTTTTAAGTCTCTGGCCAGGGCCTCTCCAAAGAGAGTGGGCGAATTCTTAAATCCTTGTGGCAATCTGATCCAGGTCAGTTGGATCTTTGCTGCAGTGTGGGGGTCTTCCCATTTGAAAGCAAAGAGTGGTTGGCTCACCTGCGCAAATCGGAGGCAGGAAAAGGCCAAACAGGTGACCTGGCCACCTCCAGCGGGAGCTGGCTGAGGAGCGTGCATGGGTTTGGTACCATGGGGTACAGTGCAATTGTTGCTTCGTTCACTGATCTCAGGTCCTGTACTGACCTGTATCTGCTCCCATCTGGCTTCTTCAGTGGCAGCAAGGGAGTGTTCCAGGGGGACTGGCATGGGACAAGTATACCTTCCCTCAGATGCTCTGGATGACCTCTGTGATGCCTAGCCTGGCCTTCCTGAGGATGGGGTACTGGAGGATCTGTTTCAGTCTGGCTCCCGGGGTTTTAGTTCTATAATTACAGGCAGATGGTTCCCTGCCAATCCTGGCGGGTTGTCATCTGCCCAGACCTTTGGGTATCTCTTTCGAAGGTCAATCCCCCTGTCCTCAGTGGGCTCCCGTTGGCCTTCCTCTGCTTCCTTAGATAGTCGATATTCTTCTTCCCGGGGAACTAAGGCTGCTATGAGGTGTGGGCTGCCAACTTGTAAGTGAGCCTCTCCCAACAGGCGAGAGGAGATCTGGACTCCTAGCTCAGAAAGCAGGTAGCGTCCCAGGAGTGGAACCGGGCACTTCGGCATGTACAGGAATTTGTGCTTTACCTGGTGGTCCCCAAGTTCTACAGTTCGGGCTTGACAAAACTGTAGGGGGCCACTAGGCTGTCCGGTAGCACCAATGATAGAGATCTCACGCCCTGAGGGAGGTGCAATCGCAGTTGTTACTACTGAATGTTCTGCCCCAGTATCTACCAAGAAGGGGAGGGTTTGGCCCCCTACTGTCATTTGGACCATGGGCTCATGGGGACTGAGGTGTAGTGAGCCAGGTCTCCCCTAGTCCGAGTCTAAGCCTCCCTCCCAGACTGAGGATGGTAGGCGCCTGGGTCTCAGGTCCTGATTGCCTACCGGCCTGCCTTTTCTTCTTTTGGTTGGGACACTCTCTTTTCCAGTGTCCCCTTTCTTTGCATTAGGCACATAGGTCTGGTTCCACACTCCAGTGTGTAGGCTTGTTTTTTCCTTCTGGCCGCTGGCCTTCCCTGAGTGGCAGGGGCTTTCCTAGCGCGGCTGCTGGGAGGGCTGCCTTTCTCTCCATTCTTTTTTGAGCCTCCAGCTCGGCCACCCCTCTCTGTTATTGTACACCTTGTTGGCAACCTCTATTAGCTGGTTTATGTTCATCCCGGCAAAGCCCTCGAGTTTCTGAAGCTTATTCCTCATGTCCGAGGCTGATTGGGAGACGAACGCCGTGTTGACCAGTCTCTGGTTGTCTGGCCCTTCAGGACCAAATGGGGTGTATATCCGATAGGCCTCACACAGACATTCGTAGAAATCCCCAGGGCATTCATCTGGCTGCTGAGTCCCATTAGCTACCTTTGACATGTTAGTAGGCCGTCGGGCCCCCGCCCGGATTCCGTGGAGAAGGGCATCCCTGTTTCTCTGAAGCGCAGCCCTTCCTTCCTCTGAGGGGTGGTCCCAGTCAGGCTGGGCCTCAGGTGCTGCTGCTCTTGCCCATCGGGCTGGGTCTACAGTGCCCATGGGCGCCGTGGTCTCCAGATATCGGGGGGCTTCCTGGAGAACGGGCCTTCGCTCCTCGGTGTCGAACAGCGTGAGGAGTAGCTGTCGGCAGTCGTACCAGGTGGGACGATGCATCTGCATGATGAATTCTATAAGGTCGATCAAGGCCTGAGGTTTCTCCGAGTAGGATGGAGTTTGGTGCTTCCAGTTTAAGAGGTCAGTGGTGCTGAATGGTTGGTAATAAACGATGGTTTGTCCTGGTTGCTCGGTACCATCTGGCTGAATTTGTGGTGGGGCCTGGGTCTCCCTGAGAGGCATCTGGAGTGGCTGCCATTGCAGCACCTTGTCGAGACCGGAAAGGCTGGTCTGGTGTTGGCGAGACAGATGGTGGTGGAGTTTTAATTTCAGGGGTCCAGGGGACCATCTCAGGTGCATGGGGGGGGGGGGTAAGTGGATAGGAAGTTCTTCCTCTGGGTCGCCTTTGAGAATGGGGGGTCAGCGTGCTTCCTTAGATTGACCCACGAGGACATGGGCAGGGACTGCCTGCGTTTGGTAAGGTGAGGTTTTTTGCTTTGTTCCAGTCACCCCTGCCGATCTCAGATTCTGCTGAGCAAAGCATTGGAGCCACTTTGGCATGTCCTGAGCTAGTTCCTGCCATCTATCTATGTAGATGTACTGGTCTGGGTGTCCTGGCCTCCCTGTTACTATCAGATGTACTGCCCTTATGATTCCTAGGTTGAGGGCTCCCTCAGGGGACCAGCCTACCCCAAAACTAGGCCATTTGGCTGAACAGAAGGTTTCCAATTGGCTCGGGGTCATGCTCGGATCCTGGCCCCGGAACCAATCAAAATTCTGCAACATGCAGTCGAGTACAGTCGATGAGCCTGCTCCCATTGTTTCTCCTCCTGTAACGGCACAGACAGACGAGGGGTGAGGGTTTTCAGTTCAACTGCCTGGCCACTCCCGTCGTGGGGATTTAACTGCCTCTTAGCTTTGGCAGGTCAGTAAAAACCCCTGACTCAGATCAGGTTCACAGGGTGGTACTCTGTCCTCCAGAACCTGATACTGACCTGAGCCGTATGAGGTCATCACGGTACCACAGGTTGGGGCTCACTCAGACTCTGTAGGTTTGCACTGGTGGAGCCACACAGACATTCACACTCATTCACACAGACATTCAAAGGAGTTTATACATTCCCTCCCTTTGGGCTAGCCCTACCTGCGGCCGAAAGGCCTGAGAGGTGATCAGTCTCTCCTTCCACCTCAAGGGTGGGCCGGTACCCAGGCTCCTGATCCCCGGGGCACTCACTGGTCCTGAAGCTGGACCCATTCGTTTCCCCCAGCAGCCCAGGTGGGGTGTGAACCTCGCCGGCAGCTGGCCATGGAGCCCTGAACGGGCAGGGACCCAAAACAACTGGGGTGCACGCTTCCCTCCATCACAGGGCTCCATGGAGCGCCCCCAAGGCCACCTCACCAGTGGCAATCACCTGCTCCTGTGAGTTGTTTCCCGGTCAAGGAACCAAAATATTACGGAAAAGACTCAGAACACCAGAGGAAGCGAAGAGGTTCCTTTATTCACGCATGCGGACCCAGAGGAGGCAGTCTCCAAATTCTGGGCCCCAAGTTGCAGGGCACACCAGCTTTATAGCGGGCTGGGCAGACATTCTTTAGATGCGAGAGCGGTAAGCAGCTTATAGAAGCAGGAAGCGAAAAGGTCTGGTTATCTCTAGGAGGCAAAAGGGTCTAGTTATCTACTGGGAAGCAAAAGGATCTGGTTACATCCTGGGTGCTTGCTTTTTCTAAAATGACAGTTTACTTCTTCTATCAACACTAGGAGAGGTATTTTAATATTTTAGACCACAAATTGGTAAAATTTCTTTGTAATTTTGGAAGTCTTCTGAGACAAAATGTGTCCTAAGTATTAATTGGGCAATGTCATATCTCACCCCACTCTTTTAAAAAGTAAAAAAAATATTTAAAATTTTCTAAATATTAAAATAATTTATGTTTTGATATTAATATATAGTCTTTGTGTTCTAAAGGCATTTGCTTAGTAGCTTAAAGATCTTTAATTTTTATAAAATTTGTAGCTTTTTCTGCATAATTTTCTAACAGAATTTCTTTATCTGAAGCAATAGTTTATCATCTTTGTATCTTAAAGAGGGTTTCTTTTGATGCAAATATTCAAACCATTTTATAGCTTAAACTTATAAGCTCAACTCTTGCTAAAAATAATTTTTAAATGTTTTTTATACATTTAATTCTGATTTCAAGTGATTAATTTTGTTAACTCTTTTGACTGCTTAAAGATAACACCTTATCAAATTCATTATGTATTTGATGAAATACATTGTACACACTGTATTCTATTAATTGTTTTTCTGCACAACAAACGTCTTTTTAATTTTGCTCTGCCACAACAAATAGCAAATGTTATTCACTGTGAAATTTGCAGCATAACTTTTTCTAGTTTCTTTTTTCCTAAACTGTTCTGGAAGTAGCACTAGCTTCAGTATCTCTATTCAATTCTACACCAATGCTCTGCCTTTGTTTTTTAACTTAAAATTGTTTCCATACTTATTCATTTTAACTAGCAAACTAATTTAATTATTTTATAATCAAAATGAATATTTCAATCTAATTAGAAATTCTAATTTATGTAAATTAGATTCATACTGCTGCCAGCATAAGATATGAAAATAAACACATAACAGGGTTACATCAATAATAGAAAAAAACTATTTGAACTGATTCAGTCCATGCACTACTAGAGTGGAGATGTGTTTATGTGTAATAATAGAAACAATACAACCTAATACATGCACATGTGATAAAATAATATCTCACAAATGCAAAACAAAAATAAAATGTAGTCTTGCCAAAACAACGCATTCTTGTTAATGAAAAAATATTTTATATCACTACATTTAAAATTTTAATTTTAATTAAAATTAATTAAAATCAGAAATCCAATTATTTAGTTGCACTAGTCACTTTTTATTGGCCAGCATAGATATAAGGATATTTCTGGTATTGTAGAAACTTATTTTGGACAGCACCAGTCTAGAGTATGAATAATATATAAACTATATGTTATATAAACTATATGTTATATAGACTTTTATAGAAGCCTAGTGAGGAAATACTAGGCAGTGAGGGACGGGACCACGGGAAGGAAAGGCTGAGACACCGGGGAAGTTTGAGATGACTTGGGGCTCAGCACACAGGCAGGTGACCCAGTACACAGTATATATGGAGGTTTTTCAGACTCTACAGATCTCAAAATAAAATTAAAACCAGCATGGCAAATTCTGCCCTCAAGGCCAAAAACTTCCAGCCCCCATTTATAGAAATGCAAACTAGAAGCACAGGTCAATTACATAACAACAACAAAAAAAAAACAGGAAAGGCTGGTTTATTGCAAGAGGAAAACAGCAATTGTAGCCTTGCCTTTCTCTGGGACAATGATGGGTTTGAAAAGGAATTTTATTTACTGTTAAAGAATACAGTGCTGGTGATTCTGACCTGTTCCAATTAATACACCTACTGGTTCCTGGAAGCAAGGCAATAGGATTGCTTAATAAGTTCTGCTGTGAGACTACAGAGGGTGTTTCTATTGCCGAAAACCAAGTTATTTTAGAAAGAATTATAGAAAACTAAAGTTAGATTTGGGGGAGAAAGCAAAAGCAAGCATAGGGTTGCTCAAAGGGCATTTCCCCTGCTCCTCACTTTAGTCTGGGAGAAGTTGAAATTATCATAAAAAGGGAAGCTACTAAGGCCCATATAGATGATTTAGGGCTAAACCCAATCAGGTGGGAAATACAAGCTTTAAAATGTATGGATGTTGCTAAGGCAGAATTCCTTGAAAGGACCAATCAGAAGCTAGCAACGTATATGTCTACCCCTAGACAACAGAGTTCCATGGGCAACCCACTTGGGTCCCCTCCCCACTGTGGGGAGTCTGTCTATCTTTCAAGCAAATTTCCCTTTTGCTTACCCCATGGTCTATGAACTCTTTCTTCAATTTTGTGAAACAACGAACCCGAACATTGCTGTTTCATTTCACTAGAAATTAAATACCACAAATATTATTTCAATGGGAAAATGTACTCCAGCTCCCACACAACTTGTCCATGACTTGAAGAGTGACTAAATTATCCAGTTGTAATTATTTTTCAGTAGGATTGCTGAATAAAACAGTAATATACATTGAGCACAGAAAATGGTAATCGTATAAAAATAACTGTACGCCCTGTGCACCAATTTTCATTTAATAATGCAAGATCATTTTCTCATGCCATTAAATATTAGTTATAATTTTTGAAACACTATATTGATAGAGAAAGTAAGTCGCTATTTTAGAAAAAGCAAGCACCCAGGAGATAACCAGACCCTTTTGTTTCCTAAAGATAACCAGACCTTTTCGCTTCCTGCTTCTATAAGCTGCTTACCGCTCTCGCATCTAAAGAATGTCCGCCCAGCCCGCTATAAAGTTAGGCGTGCCCTGCAACTTGGGGCCCAGAATTTGGAGACTGCCTCCTCTGGGTCCGCATGCATGAATAAAGGAACCTCTTTGCTTCCTCCAGTGTTTGGTCTGAGTCTTTTCTGTAACATTTTGGTTCCCTGACTGAGAAACGACTCACATGAGCAGCTGATTGCCACTGGTGAGGTGGCCCCGTGGGCGCTCCATGGAGCCCTGTGATGCAAGGAAGTGCAAGCCCCGGTTATTTTGGGTCCCTGCCTCTTCCAGGCTTCATGGCCAGCCGCAGGTGAGGTTCACACCCCACCTGGGCTGCTGGGGGAAACAAACGTGTCTAGCTTCAGGGATTGTGCAGCTTCAGGACCAGTGAGTGCCCTGGGGACCAGGAGCCCGAGTGCAGGCCCACCCTTGAGGTAGAAGGAGAGACTGATCACCTCTCAGGCCCTTCGGCTGCAGGTAGGGCAAGCCCTAATGGGAGGGAATGTTTAAACTCATTTGAATGTCAGTGCGTGAATGAGTGTGAATGTCTGTGTGGCTCCACCAGTGCAAGCCTACAGAGTCTGAGTGAGCCCCAACCTGTGGTACTGAGGTGACCTCATACGGCTCAGGTCAGTATCAGGTTCTGGGGGACACAGTTTCTCCCTGCGAACCTGATCTGAGTCAGGGGTTTTTACTGACCTGCCAAGCTAAGAGGCACCTAAATCCCCATGAGGGGGGCAGCCAGGCGGATAAAGCAAAAGTTTCTGTCTTGAGTGTCTTCCCTTGTTTTTGTTCTCATCTGCATCGCTGTGTCTCCCTCAACTTTATTACGGTTAGTCTAATCATGGACAGCAGCCCTAGTGCCCAGAAGACCTCATTGGGTTGCATAGTAAACGTTCTTAGGAAAGGATTTGAAGAAGATTCCGATTAGGGCACAAAAATATCTAAAGAAAAGTTAAGGACATTCTGTTAATTAAATTGACCCACATTCAGGGTGCGCTGGGCTAACGCAGGATCCTTTAACCATGAGTTAGTGCAAGTAGTTTGGAATCAGGTCACAGGGGATCCAGGACATCCAGACTAATTTCCCTATATTGATCAATGGCTTAATTTAATGAGACACTGACCCCCATAGTGAAAGAGCCATACCCTTCAGACCAGGGCACGAATACTGGTAGTGGGCCCCCACCTAGGCTCCAAGTTAGAAACCTGGGAAAAGGTCGGGAAGAGCCTGTGAGACAGAGATACAGCGAAAGGCCCAAACAAGTTTCTGGTGCAAACATTTACTCTTTGGGCCCTAATTAGACATTGCCTTGATCTTCTGCAGGAGGCTAATAAGGTGTAGTGAAAGACTTGACGGAAGCCTAAAAAGGCTATGAGTCTTTAAAGACTTCCCCACTGCCTTCCACGAAGGGCTGTGAGAGAGGTTAATCCCCCTGCTGAGACTTGACTCCCAGAGTATAAGAGAGAACTAGAAAGAGAGGTGGAGCAAAATCGGTGGCACCTCACCGAGAAAGATTCAGATAAGGGGTTTAATGTTACCAAAAGTTTTGCAAAAATAGCTCTTACTATCTCGAGGAGATGCAGGGGCTTGGCCCAGAGAACCCTCTAGTGCCCCTATACTCTCTCTCCAATGGGACTAAGAGAGGCAAGACCTACCAGAGAGAATATCACTGGGTTTTTTATTATTTCCAGTGACATAGAAGCCTGACCTGAACAATCCAGGTCAAATATTAAAATTGCATAAGCCCATCCCATTTAAGATGTTAAAAGATCTCAAATCTTCTTGTACTACGTATGGGCCCGCAGCTCTCTTGTGCTCAGTTTATTAGAATGTTGCTAGTGAAGCCTTAGTCTTGGGTGATTGGCAAACATTAGTGAAAGCTTGCCTTACACCAGGGGGGACTATCTGATGTGGAAAAATAACTGGATGGAGATTAGTAGTGAGCAGGCCATATGGAATCAAAAGCATAGAGTACCCATTTCTTTGGAAATGCTCATGGGTGCAGGGAATTTTCAGGCTCTTTGAGATCAGCTAGGGTTTGTTCTCCAGGCATATCAGCAGATTAATATTTGTGCTTTGAAGGC